CAGTTAAAGGAGCATCTTCACCTGTCGTTACAAACTCCCCACCACCACCCATCATCGAATCTCCCCCTTCACCAGTCTAAGAAACTCTAGCATCACCGGTCCACGAAACCCCACTTTCACAAAACCCAACATCTCCCACAGCCACTGTCCCAACCATCCCCCCTTCTTCACCATCTCACCAAACCACTTCTCAAAACCCACCACTCTCTCCAATCCATGATGATATTCTTTTGAGTTCCCTTCACCCTACAAAACCAAGGCGGCCAAGAAAGCATATTCCGTCAAACAGGTTCGTCCACACAGACCAGTCACAAGGAGTGCGCATGTGGTCAAACCAGCTGATGATACAATATCTGGGGTGAAGCGTCGCCGATTGGGTAAGTCTCCTGTTCCTTCATCAGTCTCCCAAATGGATCTTGCTTCTGATACTGATGCTATGTCTGAGGGTAAACAATCTGCTACTCCTCGATCCAAATCAAAATTTGCGAAAAGAAATGCAGATAAATTTTTAAAAGTGGGAAGGAAAAAGTACTTCCAAACCAAATCAGTGCTTAGGGGTAGAACTTTTCACCCTGATATACTTTCAATGGATTTAGTGAAGCAGGTTTGTGAACTTCTAAGGTTTCAAGGGTGAGAGGAGTTATTTCTAGAACCTAGTTTGATCTATGAAAAGGAAGTGGTCGAATTCTATACGAACTTGGTCATCCTTGAAGGAGATGTGGTGTCGTCTAGTGTAAGGGGGGTTGACATTGTATTTGATGCAACCAAGCTTGGGGAAATCTTGCATATACCATCTGTGGGTATAAATGAGTACAATTGGGGTTTTGATGAGTATTCTAGTCTGCCAGCTCGATTCTCTCAAGGTAGAGTCAATTCTAGGGCTCAAACTGTTTTAAAGGGAATAATGCGATCGTTGCATAAGCTTCTTTTTGAGATAGTTCATAAGGTGATACTGCCTAGAGGTCACCAACGTCACATTGCCTCCATAAGAGACATGGGACTTATGAACGCACTTGAGCGCAAAGAGCGCATTGATTGGCCTACACTGATTATCAAACATCTTGCTAGAATTGTGGATCCTAAGTTAGGCTCTCATCAGTTAGCTTTTGGAAATCTATTGACTAGGGTGTTTGATGCTTTTGAAGTACCATTGGGAGAAGGCAAGATTTTAACTCGTGCAAATATGTTCACTCAAACTATCCTTGCTGATTGTGGCATTCCTATGGAGTTGGAGCAGGTTGCAACTGCGTCTCCACGTACATCTGGTCCTGTTGCTCAGTTACTTAGGGAACTTAAAGTAGCTGAAGAAAAAAACGCCTCTCTTGAATCAGACAACCAGAAGTTACGTGCTGAGCTCGATTCCTCAAATGCTGAAATACACAAGTTGAAGGATCAGTTGGTGCAGCTGCAACTTGCTAACAATGCAAGAGTTGACAGAGTTTTGGATATGCTGGCTTTTGCTTCAACTAAGCCTGGTCAACCTCCACAGTGATAAAGCATATTGTCTGAACCTGGTTCTCTTAGTTGGTTTCACTCTGTATTGTTGCTCCTTGTTTTGTTGCCAGAACAATTTACATTGCTCAACTGGCTGGGCGTATTTTGTTGCTATGGACATTGATTAGTGTTGAATATCCGCTGTGGATGTCTTTTTGATTCGTCAAAAGGGGGAAAAGTTATTTGTGCACACATCACACGTTACATGTTTGTCTTCATAAAAAAGGGGGAATATGATAGAATGTGATAGAATCGTTAATTCGTTTTGATGATAGACAAAAAGCGCAAAGAACAGTAGCAAATGTACGCAGCAAAGAAGTCAAGCTAGAGTCCAAGATCAAGTAAAATAGAGTTATTTTTCAAAGCCAAAATAATATATTAAAGGTACAAGTTAATACAAATAAGGAAAACCTTAAATATATTATTAAAGAAGGAAGTTGTGTATAATAAGGATTCTAAATTAAAAAAAATCCTTGTTTAAATATAACTTTCTTACCTTATTAGTAAGGATTGCGCAAGGCAAAAACTCTATAAGAAGGATACGAGGCAGAGGAAAACAATAGCACTTCACGCAGAGAACAAGAGAGAATTATTCATCAACCTGAGGTCGTCAAGATTGATAGGATTACTACGGTCAAAACATTCTTGAGTGAGAAGGTTTTTATCGTGTAGAACTATTTGTCCTGTTTTTGTTCTTAATTATAGTTCACAGTTTATTGTACAAAGGGTGGGTTTGGCTCTTTGTAGGGTTGGGTGTTAGCAAGAGTTGTAACAAAAGGTAGGTTTGGCCTTTTGGAGAGATCGATTGGAGTCAATCGAGGGACTAGTAGAAATAAGACTTTTGATTATTGAGTTGTAATCACAAAATCTTATAGTTGAATTAATAAAATGAGGGTTTTCCTTCCTTGAGTGAGGAAGGTTTTAATTCAATAAGTGTTTGTGTCTTTACTCTGTCTTACTTAAAAGCAACTTACACGAACCTGGTTTGTGTTCTGGGGTAAGTTTTCTTCAGTGTCAACATGCAGGAAGTTGTTGACAACCTGAGAAACCAAGCTGTCTTGGCAGGAAGAATTTTTGATATGGGGATCATAACTCTTCGTGACATGGATTCTCTTCACGATATGGTAGAGATCCAATCTTGGTTACACTTGTTCAACAGAAAATCCCCCATCCTCCATGAAGAAGAAGTGCGCGAATTTTACTATAATATTCAATTCAAGGACGATGGGAGCATCCTCACCCTGGTAAATGACATTGTTGTATGTTTAGATGAGGGTGTGTTGAGCAAAATTCTCAGGGTGCCTAGAGAGGGGACCCGGTCTATACTGGGCAGAACTTGCTCTTCTGAGTTTGCTTCTGTCATTTCTAAGACACCCACAACCAAGGTTGCTGGGATTTATAAGAAAGTCATGAAGAGTGAGTACCAGTTGGTCTTTGAGTTCATCAACAAAGTTCTCCTTCCTCGCACTAAAAAGAGGACAGTAGCAGCTGCTGCTAATTTGTTTGTGATGGAGATGTTGTGCAGCTTCAAAGCCCTGAACCTCCCTGGTCTAATGTTTGAGCATATCCACAAAACTGTTATTGAGAGGAAAGGTGTTCACGGATGGGTTACGGATACTTTCTCACGGAGGTATTCAAGCATTTTCAAATCCCTCTTAGTGTGGGAAAAATGGGGACGGTTAAGCAGACTATCTCCAAAATTACCTTGGTTGAGTGCGAATTCATTGAAGGAAGAGGCTATCCTAAGAGCAAGATGGCCCAACTTATTGATGATCATGATCAGCTTAAGCACGAGGTGGAAGAGCTTACTGTGCGGTTAAGTGGTAAAGAGGCAGCGATTGCTATACTCAAAGCAGAACTGCTTACTGCACATAGTGAGGGACCTGGTTCTTCAGTGGTTCAAGCTCTGGAGAAAGAAAATACCGAGTTGAAGGCGAAGATAACTGCCTTGCAGGAAAAGTCCATCAAAGATAATGATGCTACCAATACATGACTCACTCTTGTTATTTAGTCCCTGTCTCATCCTCCCCCCTCTTCCTAGCTTGTTGAACAATTCCCCCCTGTGTCAATTTTTTTCGTGTGGCTTATCACTGTGTTGATGTATATTCAGTTTGTTTTTAATGTATTAATGTTATGCTGGTTAATTTATTCCTTTGCTATTCTGATTATCTTCGTTTGTGCATGCTTTTCCCTTACTGATTGATTGCTCTTTAGCTTTGATCTTGTTCAGGTATTTCTGTTTGACATCATTGGTTTACTGCATATCTTTTTTATGATGCCAAAAGGGGGAAGTAAAACTGTAATTAGCTAAATAATACAGTGAGGGGGAATATACAGTATGGGGGAATATACAGTAAGGGGAAATATAGCAAGGGGGAACAAAGTTGGAGACGATCTGAGATCATTGTTTGTCATCATCTAAAGGGGGGAAAATGTTATTTGTAGTTTTGATGATTTGACAAACTTAGGGACCTTGTAAAGGTACCAGGTTTCTTACTTGTGTGTTGCAGATGAAACAAACCCAGGGACCTAGTATAGGTACCAGGCTCTCATGATGACGAGCCAGTTGACTGCCAGCTGGAGACGGTACAGAAAGTAGGTGCACACTTCCCGATGGCGTCAGAAAGTGTGACTTTTCCAACCAATGGCAAAGAGGTTTAGGAAAGTGACTTGTCCATATAAAAGGTACTTTCCTAAACATTTTTGATAGTTTTTGCAACTTGAGAGAAACCTCTTCAAGAACATTTGCAAAGGCTGCTAGAAAACAAAGGCAGAATTATTCCAAGAACAACAACAATCTCTGGAGCTTTTCATGTAGTTGTTTAAGAATACATTCTCTTGTTCTTAAACTGTAAATTATTCCTGAATCTATAAAGGAATCAGTGTGTAGTGTTAAAAGTCTAGGTTGTCCAAGTGGGATAGCTTAGTGGGTAGATAGTTTTCAACTTAGGCTTGTTAACAATAGTCATTACTGCTTAAACGTGAGATTAAAAACTTTTTCTTACATTTGATGTAATCGTGTTTTAGTTTTGCTTTTGAAGATTAGTGAAAACGATTGAAAATCCTGTGAGACAGGTCGTGGTTTTACTCCCTTAAGCAAGGAGGTTTCCACATAAAATCATCTTGTGGATTTTACTGCATTTAACTTTCTGGTTTTATTCATTAGTGTAGTAAGGGACCTGGTCCATTACTTGTTAAGTGAAGGCATATATTCTATCACTGACCTTTCCTTTTTGACTTAAAGTCAGTTGGATATCCAACAATTTTGTAACATTGTTCCTTAGAGTGACCTCTACAACCACAGTGATCACATTGCAACAAATGTCTTTTATTCTTATACCGTTATTGTTGTAACTACCAGAAGAGCTCGAGATATTACCCGAACTGCCTCCTTTAAATGTATTTGGAACTGTATGAGAGTTTGAATTCCTATTGTTGTACATGACCGTGACTTTAATTGTACCAGATCCTAAGTTCATTGAACTTGAATTCACTAGATTTCTTTGTCACCGTTGGTCCATAAGAAGAGCACAAGCTTTGTTCAAGGAAGGTATAGAACTCGTCATAAGAATTTGACTTCTAGGTGGTGAATAGGACTTATTCAAACCCATAAGAAACTGAAGAAGTCTTTGGTACTCATAATGTTCACCAAATTTCCTTGATTCTGGGCAAGGACACGAGGGACACGGTATGAGAGCATCAAACTCATCCCACAGGTTGCTGAGTTTCGAGAAGTAGTCAGCAATTGTTAATGTGTATTGAGTGAGAGTGTGAATCTCTCTGTGTAAATGAAATATCCTAGATCCGTTTACTATATCAAACCTTTCTTTTAGATCCAGCCATACCTTACGATCATCAGATGCATAGACAACTGAACTTAGAAGTCCAGGTCGAACAACATTCATTATCAAAGATAATACTACAACATTACATTTTTCCCATTGATCATGTAACATAGGTTCGAACATAGATTTAGGGAATCTTCCATCAAACCCTAACTTGCTATATCCCACGAGTCCAATCCTAAATGATCTACTCCACAATACATAGTTTTCAGATCCAATTAATTGAAGAGAGATCAGAGATCTACCTGGAGTATCTGTGTTTTGAAGAAACAAGAGATTTTTGTGGCCAATTACAGGGAAGGATGCCATGGTTGTAACTCCAGTACTTGTTCCTTCAACAGTTGATTCAATTGCCATTTGCAGAGTATAGATTGCAGCTGAATTTAACATTTGATGCTTCCTTGCGAGTTTCCTTTGAATAGGGATGAACTCTGAGCACCTAGTGGTACAAATTACAGCGGAACTAGTCTTTGATCAACCTGGATCTGATACCATGAAAACACCATTAATGGAGGTTGAGAATGTACACAAGTACAGAGAGAAGAGACAAAAGGAAGAGAAGAGAAGAGAGCATCTTTCATATATGAAAATGAGTTTACTGTTATATTGAAAAGTGAAGTTTACATTGTAGTTCAATATCTATTTATAGACTATAGAATTGTAACTACTTTCTTAACTAACTATAGAAGCTTCTAGATTTTTTCTAACAACTTTAACTAACTTACACCATATAGCTTTTTCAATCTCTTAAGCTGATCAACAACTTTCATGATAAATGAACCTCTCTTCAACTTTAAAAAGCTTCAACTGATTCATGTATTCTGAAAAAAATAAGCTAATGCCTTTTGCAAATGAGTCCTCTGATATGTGTAGGGATTGGTTTGAGTTTTGGAGAAATTACTTGATTTGTTTGCAGTATTGCATCAGTGGAATCAGTTAAACATAATTTTTTTCTTTTGCTACTGTATCTATTAAGTCTCGAGACGAAGATATATGTAATCAGTATGTAAGATAAGACAGATACATGCCTTTGTTGTTTGGTTGTAATGCAATTGTTCATAATTCAACAGATGCTGCTCAAATTTCATTGTATTTTTAGTAGCAATTGTTGTTCATTAATGTTAGTTTTATACAACCAAATAATTGCTTGCAATCAGAGGAAAACTAAGATACTTTCATAGTAGAGAAACACAGTTTTGATAGTTGTAGATTAGCATAGTCGAACTCCAATTCCTCTGCAAGTGGTTAATAAGATCGGAAATGAATAATTTGATTAAATATATTGTTCGTGATTACTATTGCATTGTTATACTGAATTTCACATAGAGTTACACTTGTAGGTTAGCGAAAATATGTCTTCTTGGTACTCAATTATTAAAATGAAGAGTGGTTGTTACTTGTTGTCACAATGACTTATTAGTTTAGAACTTTTTCTCCCAACATCTGCCGAAGTAAATATGGACCTGATCGGGTACTCTGATAGTGATTGGGGTGGTGGAGTTGACGATTCCAGAAGCATCTCTGGATATCTTTTCTGTTTGGGGACAAGTTGTTTTAGTTGAAGCTCTAGAAACAAGAAACTACAGCTCAATCAACAGTAGAAACTGAGTACATAGCTGCTGCATCTGCTGTGTATCAAGCTATCTGGCTAAGGAAAATGTTAAAGGACTCGGGCCATGAACAAAAAGAAGCTACCAAGATCATGTGTGACAACAGTTCAGCAGTTTCCATCTCAAAAATCCAGTATTTCATGATCGAACTGAGCATATCAAGATCAAGTTTCACTTTATTAGAGAAGTCCAATAATCTAATGCAGTGTTTCTTGTTCCTTTTTCATCTGAGAACCAGCTAGCTGACATTTTCACTAAGTCATTGCCAAAGGAAAGGTTTGAAGATCTGAGGCAAAGAATTGGTATTTGCCACAAAAATGCCAAGGAGGAGTATTAGACAATTGACATTTTTTCCAGCTTATTATTGTTACTTATTTCAGTTTAGTGTTTTCTATTTTCTAGCTAGACTTGGTCAACTTTAGTTGCTCAACTCTATGAAGTTAGTGGTCCCTTTTATGGTTGTTAATGACACATGTTCTTATTTAGTTTTAACATTCACTTTGTAAGTGGCTACAAGATAGGAAATGGTTAGATTTTTCCTTGTATAAATTCAGATCTTGTGCAAATTGATACATAGCTGGAATTTCATTTGTTCACTCTATTTTTATTTATTCTTGAAATCAGTTTCACGAGTGTTTCTGTTTGAATGGAGTTGTTGCATAAGAAACAGAAGAAAATCCTTTATATATATATACATATATCATGTAATATGACATAATCTTTTGTTGTTAACAATAGGGAATTGAGCTTCACGGGATGCTGAATTGGATCAATAGCTACACTAGCTAACAAGCTTCACCAATACACTTGTTGGTAAAGGTTGAAGAGCTAGAATTGTAATTGGTAAAGAAATGAAATTCAAGTGACCATAGAGAAATGTTGTCTCTCTAGCATGGAACAGTAAGGCCCCCCGTTGGACTAAAATTCAATTTAATGAAACATGACAGTGGACTCGATTGCTTAATATTATCGTGCCAGATAGCTGTGTTTGCACCCCCCAACTTGATGCTGTAAGGATAGAAGAGTTTTCGTCTGATTAGACAATACATTTACAGAATAGCACATAGTTTCCAGCTCTATTATTGCCTTTCTAATTGATAATTTATTGTTTTTGTTACTCTTTATCATTTCACTCTTCAGACTGAAAAACAGCTTTACTATAATGAGGCATATTTGGGGCCTCTATTGTTTGGTGTAGTATTTGAATGCAATTATTTTTTCCCATCTGCTTCTCTAATTTGTGTGGTGCCAAAATTTATTGTATTTGCAGCAGTCCTTTCCACTTATCATGTGTACGACTACAAGATCAAATGAAATTTTAGTGCCTTCTAAGTATCTTTAATGTAACACTGCAAGATTCAAAAGCTTACTTTACTTTCTTAAACTCCATACCAAGTCAAAATCAGACAAATAAAATGAAACGAATGAAGTTTTCTTGCTTGTCCTGGCATATCTGCCCTACCAATTTAGTGTATTGTCCTTTTCTACATTTCTTCTCAGAACACATCCTATAAGTCTCAAGTACATGTGATTTGTGATTTATCATGTCATCATTATATATACAGATTATCCAGTTACTACTATTTTTTTGCAGGTTGGCATATGACCAAATATACAATCATCGATAGGAAACTTGTCATTCCTGAGGCCTTCTAGTTAACTGTCCACATGCAACTTGAAAGATATTTACTTCTAATAAACAGATTTTCTCGAGTGCCAGTCCTGATGCAGCACCAGATTTTGGTGCCTTAAAATCTGCTGTCTGAGATTGAACGTGTTTCTTATGGGAACTAAACCAATAGACGAAGTAGTGTAAATGAGATTTATGGAATTCTACTCAAGGCAAACAACTTTCTGAAAGATTAGAAAAGGAAAATGATTTGGTGAATAAATCGAACTCAGTTCATCAATTTGTTACTATTTTTCTTCCACTTGATAATATTCTATCAATTAGTATCTGTACAAGCTAACCGAACACCATGGTAATTTTTTTTAAAAAAATATCTGCCAATTAGTTGCAAATGGATATAGGAAAGATCACTGTTTTTGTCAATCAGTGCCCCTCTTATTATTTTTGTAACTAGTCCATTCATCAGCTGTTTTTTAGTTCAAAGATTGTGACATATCTATGTTTTGGCCCCTCAATGATTAATTATTTCTTGTTGTCACAATAATAGTTGTTTATTTTGAGCTCAATATCTTCCTTTCCTTACCATTTTGTTATGTCTTTTTCTTCCTTTCATCTAAAGCACATGTCCTAGCGATGCAATTATTATTTGTTAGATAATCTGAGTATTATTTGGTGCATATTGATATGTGCATATAATATTTAATCAATCATTGATCACAATTTTATCATTGCTATGGCTTATTTTAGGACCTACAGAGTATAGTCCACAGTAATACTGTTGAATGCCTTGAATCGGACCTGCTACAAACAGAAAGGACGGGGGTCTCGCTGCCCGGTTAGCGAGTCGGGGGGTCCAGGGGGCGACGCGCCCCCTGGCCTGGGGGTCCGGGGGGGCGGAGACGCCCCCGGCCGGAT